ATTTTATAAAGTTAAATATAGCAAATATTATGGCAATGTAATTTGTCTTTAATATATAACACCCCTTCCAGTTTACAGAGAAACTCTAAACTTAAGCACATAAACATTTCTCCTATAAACAAAATTATTTAATTCATTTTATCTCTATTTTATTTTGTTTTCATGTGTTCTTTTTAGATATATGTAATAGTGGAGTATATTCTAATACATTATACATACATGGAGTATAACTTATTTTAATTAGGATCCCATTCTTTCAGTTGTACATAATGTGGTTAATTCATTTTAGGATCTACTAAAAAATTAGTTCAGTCAAATTAAGTTTTGTTCTCAGGTGAATCATTAAAAAATAAATAACCTGAATTACTACAGTTATTTGGATTTCAGAATTGCAGATAATGAAAATTGAATCACAGTTATTTATCTGGCTAACAATGATACAATATAAATGCATGTTTACGGTACATGACATAAAAAGTAAAGATGGAAGGGGCACGGCCTGGGGTTATAGCTCAGCAGTAGAGCTCTTACCTAGCATGTGCAAGGCCCTGGGTTCGATCCTCAGCACCACATAAAAATCAATGAATAAAATAAAGGTATTGTGTCCAACTACAACTAAAAAATAATTTTAAAAAAGTAAAGTTTGTATTTGTAGGTAATCTGTGGAATATTAATAATGCCTCTTTCCTAAAATTTCTGCTTTCCTATGAGGAGTTAAGGGCAATTTCTCACTTACTAAACATAAATCCTCAGGACCCAACAATGACCACAAATTCAAGAGAAGGTGAAAAACTGATCTATGTATTCAAATGAGACACAAAGGTCTTTGCTGAACCAATTTCCATTATAGTCATATTGATCAATGAAATAAAAATCATCCATTCATATATTAAACATTTTGTGAATACACCAGAAATTAGCATTATCTGTTTTGTATGCCCACGATCTAAGTAACAGATAATTCTAATTAGAAAGAATTATCCAAACAAAGCATAAGAAAACCAAATGATACAAACTCAGTAAGAAAGCTGGGCAGAAATACATAGAATTTAAAATGGAAAAGGGCTTACTCATAAGCCATTTTGAATTTCCTAAACATGGAAGTTTCACTTATATTTAAGACACATAAATTTTGCAAAATAATCTTTACCTGCAGTTACACAGTTCAGAACAATTTAAAATCTGCATTCCCAGGTTAGTTATTTCTCTTCAAGTGAGTACAAGAAAATTCTCCAAAATAAAAGGAAATTTATGAGTTCCATCTTTGCAAAACAGTATGATTTTTGGATGTTGAAAAACCCTGACATATTTCTTAAATACTCTTTAGACAGGGATAGTTTTAAAAGAGGGATCTCTAACCACCTTTAACATCAAGGAAATATAGACATATGGGTGGTAAACTGATATATAACAAATTAGTAAACAAATATGTGACTGATATCAGGATATGGAAATGGAGAGTAGCTATAGCATGATATTGTTATTCAAGGATTAATATTAACTGGCACATGCCAGTAATCCCAGTCACTCAGGAGACTGAGGAAAGAGGATCACAAATTTGAGACCAGCCTGAACAAGACCCTGTCTCAAAATAAAAAGTGGTAAATTTCCTTGGGAGGGGGGAGATAGGAGGCGGGGAAGGAGGGAGGGAGGGGAGGGGAGGGGGAAGAAAAGGGGAAGGGGGAGACAGGGGAGGGAAGTAGAAGAGGGGGAGAGAGGGAGGGGTGGAGAGAGGAGGAGGGAGGAGGGAAGAAAGAAGGAAAGAAAGAATTAATATTACACAACAGGGCTTCTCAACTGTCAGTTTCCTTCTGTGATACTGTAACTGTTCTAGAAAAGTTCCTTAAAGGGTAGGGCAGGGCTAATGTGCAACAATGTATGCCAAGACAAGACCTTCCTGAGTAATGATGCTAAAAAAAGAAATCAAAGGCTCCTGATACATTATATCTATTTCAACATCTATGATTGGCTCTCTGCAGTAAAGGAGGATACATATGAGATCTTTTCTTGGTTGATATAGTTCCACAAAAGACAACACAGAAGTTGTCAAGCCATTTTACAAAGTCACCAACAAAGTATTTGAAATTGTCCAAACATAATCTAGTAAAAACTATCCCAAAGGGTTCAGACCAAATTAGAGGAGAATTAAGTTTCAGATAGTATCTAAGTAGGCCCAAAGGCACTTGAGGAAACAGGAGACAGATCACTAAGGAAATATGGTCAGAGAGATATAACCTGACTGGTTTAAGATGCAAGAAGGGGATGATAAGGCAAGGAATGTGGGTAGCTTCTAAAAAACTAGAAAAGGAGGCTGGTTGTGGTGAGTTAGGCCTGTAATCCCAGTGGGTTGGGAGGCTGAGGCAGGAGAATTACACTTTCAAAACCAGTCTCAGCAACTTAGCAAAACTGTAAGCAACTTAGCAAGACCCTATCTCAAAATAAAAAGGGTTAGGGATGTGGTTCAGTGGATTAGCACCCCTGTTTCAATCCCTGGTACCAAAAATATTAAAAATTTAAAAATACAAAACAAAAACTGGAAAAGAAAAAGAAATGAATACCTGCCAAAGTCTCCAATGAACATAGTCTTGTCACACCTTCATTTTATTTCAGTGAGAGAACTATGTTAGATTTGTGAGCCCAGAACTGTAAAATAATAAATTTGTATATTTTACAGCACCAAGATTGTGTGAAATGACAGGAAAATAATATATACGGCAATTTCTCACACATAAAACCAAAAGTAGAATTAACTTTGAAACACTGAAAATTGAAGTTTTGATAAGTTATTCTCTCAAATCATGTGCTTTTCATGTGCCACACATATGTACAGCTACAATTATTTACAGAGCTTTGAATACATATATTTATAACTTTACAAAACCACAAAAACAGCCTACTTGTCAGCATTTTTATTTAATTGATCAAGCTTTTTAAAATTTACTATGCTGAAACAAGTCTAAAAGGGAGATTATATTATGTTGGTGCTAGACTGTTCCAAGTAAGAAATATGCAAGTAAAAAAGATTGCAAGTAAATCTAAAATTATAGGTTCTAGAAATTTAAAAAATGATTTTATAGTTACTAATATTCATTTTTCAAGTAAAGATTGTTGAAGGAAATCCTGTCTAACATGCATTTTTTAAAATTTACATACTGAAATTAAATTCAGAAATATTAAGTGTACAATTCTGTGAATTTTGACAAATACATACACGTGGGTGTAACCAAATCAGGATACAAAACAATTCTATCACCTCATGAAACTCCTTCCTGTTCTTTCCAGTCAGGCCCTATCATTCCTAGATAACTTTAATTTTAAATACTCAAAACCTTGTTATTTACAAAAATGATATATGTAACCACCTCTATCTAATATAAATTTCCAACTAAGTCTTTTAATATATTCAAGTTTCATAACTTGACTGTCACCAAAACTATGTATTATTTTAAAACTTTCCTGATTTTCACATTACACACAATACAGCAGAAAACAAATCTCACTCCATGTTTGTTTTATGATAATTAAAAATGTTATTCAAACAGATTCCACACAAAAGCCAAGTCAATTTTCATATCAAAGTTGAAAGAGAAATGAATTCAGTACATTCCTTTTACACAAATAATTACTGAATTAAACTATCACAACTTATGGAATCATTAAAATAAAAAAAAACGAGGAAGATATTTTTTCTCCAGTTAAACAAGAAAAATCTCAAAAATTACCTCTATTCTTATTTCATTTTCGAAATACCTATTAGCCAAACAAACCTATTTTACAGTATGTCAACCTTAATACATGTCATATGAAACCATATCATTGACTACAGTGATTAAAAGAAAAAAACAACAGGATTTTACAAAAACACTCAGAAATTACAACAAAAATATTAAAACAGGTTGAGTGTACAAATATTACAATGGACTGGGAACTAAAAGCCTAGATACACACATTGAGGGGGAAAAATACCTACATTTGAAATTTTCAGTGAAAAAGTAAATGCCCCAAGGCACTAGAAATAAATTTCACAGATTACGTATTCCTAAAACAACCTTGGGAAATCAGTTATTGTACTGTCTATACTCAGCCCCTTACTTTCCCCTAGTGAGAATGCAGTTACCACAACAGAGCACATTCCGTCTCAAATTATGCATATAAATCTATACTACTCAAAAAAAAGTATCCAGTGTAAGGAGGAGTGAAATAAATAAATACTCTAAGGTTTTGTAGAACCTTTAACAATTTACAATATTTCTCATTTAAAGTCACATAAAACGCAGAAAACATCTTGATTCTAAATCACTATCGGCTTCCAACCAAAAAAAAAAAAAAGTTCAAAAGGAAGGAAAGATTAATTCCTACTACCCTCCATAGCAAAATATCCTCATCTTCTTCGTTTCCTGTTGGAAAGCCAAGCATCTAAGTAAGGGACAAATCAGAACACCGCCACTGCCATGGGCTTTACCTCTAACAGGCACACACGCGCGCGCGAATCCCAGGACTGGAAAAACAGAGATATCTTTCCCCTTTTCCCGCCCCTTCTGCAACCTTACTGAATAAGTTTCCAGCCCGGCACCATAGGATTTCTGCATCCAGACAGAGGGCAGCGACGCTCGCCGCCTCCCGCCTCTCACCGCAAGTGGCCCGCCCCCACCCCCACCTGCCCGCAGCGCGCGACGTCCAGCTCGCAGCCCCGCCTTTCCTTGAGGTCCGCGCGGCCGTCCCGGTGCCGCAGGGGGAAGCTATGGACCACCTATCCCTGATAGGAAGCAGGACGGGCTCGCAGCTGACCCGGGACGCCAGGGAGTCCCGCTCTGATATCGCCTCTGCAGAGAAAACCACTCGCTGGAGGTGGAGACTGGGCTGGGGATGTGGGTAAACCCGCCGAGGGCTGGAAAGAGGGGCGTGACCGCCAGTTGGCCAGGCTGAGCAAGGTGCCGGAGGTACCAACAAGGTGAAGCTGCGAGGGGCCCGCGCGCACGCCGGGGAATGGGGGTGCTAGCTCTCTTACCGCCAGGTCCGGATTGCGGCTGTCCCTGTGGGACACGGCTCGAATGACCCCCGCTCTCCAGCTCCGCCGGCAGCGTCCGCTCTCCCCGCGCTCCGGACGCACCTCCTCGCCGATCGCCACACACAAGAACCGCTTTCCTACCAGCTCTGGCCGCGACTCCACCGCCATAGCCGGAGCTGCCGGAGCGGCTGCTGCCTCCTCCACAGAGAGGGAACCAGCGAAACTCGCTCCTACCGGCCGCCCATGCTGAGGAAAGCGGACCGAGAGACGGCGACGGTCCCACGAACGAGAAAGCTAGGACTCAGGGATGACCCAGACGTTCTGCCCAGAAGGACACGGCGACCTCGGTCCCTCTCAGTTCCCAACACTCCTCTAGATTCCCAGGCTCGCGACCTCGGGCGACAGCTCCACAAAAAAACTGACAAATCTCCACACCACCGTCGGAGGCCCGGAGGCAGCCCCGGCCGCCGCTGCCACAGCGCCGCGGCCAGTACTACTCCGCCTCCCCTCCACAGGCGAGGCGGTGAGTGCGCCGCGCGTCTCCTTCCGCCTGTGCGGGCGGGGGGAGGAAGCCGCGGAAAGGGTCGGCGGAACCACCGCAGACAGAAAGTAGTGCCCGCAGCTGCGGCGGCTGCTCTCGGACACAGGAAGCAAGAGGGGCGCGGGAGCAGAGAGTACTCTCCCTCAGCAACACTATTAAGAGCGTTTGTGGTCCTCTTTTCTATTCGTTATCCCCTCAGAGGTGAGTCTGAGGAGAAACTGAAATGTGCTGGTTCCATTCTGGATCATAAAATAAACTCAAGGGTGTATGCCTCATCTCCAGAGCGATGTTTTTCAGAACACTGGCGCCTGTCCTTGGGGTTAGCCTAAATTGACAGTCCTGCAGTCCCAGCAGCAAAGCACCATTTCCTACTGTAAAAAACTAAGCCCAAAGAACTCAGACACTGCAGAAAAAGGGCCTACGACTTTAAATTAAAATGAAGAAAAGCCTGTCATCCTTTCAATCTTCCCCAATTACGGTGATACTAATTACATGTTGAAGCTGTTCAGACTAGACACCTCGTCACTGCTTTGTTACCAGAACGCCAAACTCTCCACTGCGGGCTTTGGTCAGACACTCTGCGCCAATCTGAGTACTTTTAGTACTAGTACATAGTTTAAACACAGAGGTCAGGTGATAAAAACAAGGAGAGGCTCTAGATTCAGTTACTAGAAAATATCATGGAAAGAAAAGGACTTTAGCCAATCACAGTTCAAGAAAATAAATTATGTTTATTTCCCGTCCAATCACAACAGGACTTTATCTCTCTCTCTCTCTCTCTCTCTCTCTCTCACACACACACACACACACACACACACACACACCCCTACAACTTGAACTACTTGAGTTCTCACAGATCAAACCTCCCTAACAGATGGCCAGTGAGGAGTTAAGATTTCAGGAATACATCAGTGTTTCAAGGTATGTTTTAAAATTCTAGTTGTGGTTTTCCAGGGGCATTAGTGATTAAAATCAACTTCAAAAAAAATAGTCAATAAAAATGTAATTCTAAAATTTAGTTTCTTAAAGAGATTTTCTGAAACCTCTATTCCAAAATTTTTTTCAAGTTACTTTTAAAGGAGTTAATAATCTGAAATGTTTTAAACAAACAGAATAAGGCTTTTATTGGCTTTCTCTGGAACACCCAAGCTGAACTGTTTGAAGCAGAAAAACATGGCCACCGCTAATAGGTTAAAAACAAAAAGAACAGGGAAGATAGATTTTAAACATCACTGTCTAATTTTGCTAATCTCAAATTCAAACGCAGAACTGCAATACATAAACAAAGGAAACAGTCCAAAAATGCAAACTGACAAGTTAAGAGAAATATTTATGTTTACCTGGGCAATTTTACTTCGAAGTCCACTTTCAGTATACACTGCAAAACTGAGGAAATTATCTTAACAATTATAGACTAAGATCTCTAAAATTTTAACTTAGATTAATTTCAGCTCAAATTAATGAGACAGTTAAATAACCCAGTGAAAGTAACCCAGCATATGGAAAAATAAAATAAGGAGACCCACATGCAGATACCAAAAAATCAATTATTTGCTTTGTAACCCTGGGCTTGTAGCAGTTATTAGAAAGAAAATTGCCTGATTCCTAATTCCCAGTGATATCCTAGAAGTAAATGGGGGGGAAAAATTGAAGTCATTTGAAAAAAGACAAATTTAATGCTGTTATTATGAAAGGCCCATTCACTAAATTATATTTTTACAGTACAGGTTGTTGGGGTACTTTACATAAAACTTCTTTAATTTTACAAGCAAACTCCTCTAAATGGGCCCCTAGAAACCCCCAATATATGTGGAATTCCTTCCTTTTTAAGTCCTATAAGAAGCATGTAAACCCTACAAATCGATCAAAATATTTCTTGGGCAGAGTTTTTCAGAAGCCATATATTCCTATAATATTTTTAATCAAACATCTTACATACTGGAGTTGGGGGTATATAGCTCAGCAGCAGAATACTTGCCTACCATGCACAAGTCTGGGTTCAATGCTAAGTACTGCAAAATAATAATGGCAAAAATTAAAAATCTTATATTCTTAAAAATTTATTCCAAATTCTGTTCTGTGAAACCCCTGACTACAGCCAATTCTTAGGGTTTATACTACTTTGTAGATATTTTGCTTTTGGAGAAAGTCTAAATACATAGGTTTCAAAGGTAGAGTAGAAGATCTTAAAGGTTTTTTGTTTGCTAGCATTTTTTTGGCTGTTTTGTTTCAGGGGCTATTTACATTACTTTATTTTTGCCAGCAAACCATAACTTTGTATTTGGAATTAAAAGAAAATTTAAAGTTAAATTTGAAACCTTTGGATAAGTGTTTCTTTAATTAATGGGTTTTCTTATATTTTTTACTTTAATAATGATACTCAGAAAATGCCAATATTAAGAGTAAAAGAAGAGTGACAGTATTTATTTAGTATAAGTTTATTATAGGAGCTAAAAAAAAATTAGAAATAGTCTTTCCATCTTCACCTGGAAATGTCCATTAAATATGTCTATACATATACATGCATTCAAGTAAAGCAAATCTCATACATCAAATATCTTAATCCATATAAAAGATACATTGGGAGATTACTCCTTATCTTTAAATCTATAAAAATGTATTCATAAAAACTATTTGATTTTAAAAAACCAACTTCTAAAATAAGTAAACTTATTTCAATGGTATTTCAATGATAAGAGCCATGATTATCTACTTAATTATCAATGACTGTTCATGAAATTCAGTTTCATTAAACAAACAGCCTACTAGTTATAAGGTTCCTACTTTCTGGGTTGGCATAATCATGGAATGGGTCAAGTCTCTTATCAAGTTTCACATATTCTAGTATTTTTTGCCACTAAATGAGTGTGCTTTAAACTTGAGAGAAAACCATAGATAAAAAGTTAAAACGCATGTTTCTTGTAATTGTACTAGCCACCATTTATGGAACACTTACTAAATGTCAGAAACCATGCAAAGTACTTTATCCACATGTCATCTCATTTTACTTTAAGGATGAGGAAAATTAGCTTTAGAGAAGTTTTAGTAACTTGCCTAAGAGTACACACATTAAGGAACTGGTTTTCAATACTAAGCCTTGTGATAGTAAATGTTCCCCACTGCCCTTAACTATCTAAAAAAGATGCTTAAAAGAACACGAAGGTCAGTCACCAAGTTGCTTCCTCCTTATAAGCACAGATTATTCATAATTGATTTGCTCAATATTTATTTAGCACTCACTTACTATGTGTCTCACATCTGCAAGGTTCTGGAGATAGGACCTTTATCCTTGAGAAACTCACAGTCTATCTGGAAAGACAGATATTAGAAATGCTTTGGTTTGCTTACTTAAGGAAGTGTCAATGACAAAATGGCATACAAGACAAATTTGATGCATTTCACAAATACTTTTCAAATGTCTTATATTTGGAGGCTTTTATTAGCTATCAAATGTAAAAACTAGATTGAGTTTATAAAGTATGAGACTACATAGTAAGGTTCATCTAGGAACTATGAAAGTCAATATTAATATATAAAGAAAATCAAAAGTTTACCCAAACTATACAAATGGAATATCAAGAATAAAGTGGAACATAAATATTACCATGCTTATTATTAAACATTAAATAATTTGTACATAGGTATTTCTATAAGCATTTATATAAAATGAATTGCTCAATCACATTTATTATAATGATAAGGTAATTCAAATGTGACTTCTTCAAGGAAATCATTCCTAAATCCCAGACTAAGTCAAAATGTCCAACTACAAATTTTTAAAACAGACCCTAATTGTCTTAGTAATATTTACTACAACTGTATTTACATCTATTGTATAACTGTTGTTTTATATTTGATAGAATATAAGCTCCATAAGGACAAGGACAGTGCAACTTTATCATGTTTATAACTACACTCCTAGCATCTACTAAACTAAGAGAAAATAATAAATGTTATTGAAAAAACTTAATGAATGAATATAGCAAAATATAGATTTTTCTTAAAGAGGAACTTAGAATCTCTAAATCAAGAAACATAAATAAGAGGTTCCTATTCTTCCTACAGGGTTATTCATTGTCTTCATAATAATGTCATACATTATCTCATTTCATTATGGAGGTACAATGTTAAGCTTTCAAATGCTTGTGCTTTGGCAGAAAAGCAAAGTTGTTCCCACAGAAATTTCTAAAGAACAGATATAGAGAGTTACAATTCACAAGAAAAACATTCATTTTGTTACCAAACTACCAATTTAATACAAACCCAAAAATGATCCTATGAGCATATCCAAAACACCAGTCTATTTTTAGGTTTCTAAAGAGAAGAGTCTCAAATGATGTCCTTGATAGAGCCAACACACAAAAGTAACTTTCTATGTTCTTGATACCATGTGAAAGAAGGGAAGGAGAGACAGAAGAAAGGAAGAAAAAATAAGCAATCTATCAGACTATTAGTACATTGTCTATATCTGCTACCCCGTTTCCACTTTAAATTCTGGATGCAAAGGAATCTACCACTTCTACTATTAAAGGGAAGACTTAAATTTGACTCTTAATGATAAAACATTAGAAATTTAGCAAGAATGCATGCAGCATTTGAAAATTCCTAATCTGATGAGTGAGAAACTACAAGAAACAAAGAAATAAAAATTTTCATTTAGCACACACAGAGGGTCTTTCCAGGGTGTCCTACAGCACTTTTTCTCTGTTCAATGCCCCTCTCAGAAATGCTCCAACTTTGCATTCTACCACCATATATAACAAATTATAATAAATATTTTTTTTAAAAAAGAAATGCTCCAACTAAAAATTACCATCAAAATATTCTAGATTCAAGTTTGCACTTTGCAAACAAGTTAGTTTTCTCAAGGGTCATGTTTCTATTGGTCCCACCACCTTTTACTATAGCCATGTTAGTAGCAGCAGAGCTAAAATGCCTGAGAGTAGTCCTGTTTGTAATCATGAAATTTCATTAAGTAAAATTTCATTTAATATAGTTTCTGAACTGTATTAAAGCTATAAATGAGAGAAACCAAAGTAAAATATAACCTAAAAAGTAATAGTGACTCCAAAATCTCAGCATGCTAACTATACTCCATTGATGTTCTTCACAGATTAACTTTGATTTTACATTATGAAGGAACTTTATGATCAAGAACACACAGCTCTGAGGTATGTTTCTCAAATTAATGGCATCTGGTTTCAAAGAAACAAGACAGGGCAGTAAAATATAGAGAATCTTTGGTCATTCCTTTCTTTGTCACATTCTAAAAAAATCCACATGATTACATATAATGAGATTTATAACCTGCCACAAAACATAAATATATAATAAAAACAAATTACTCCATATAAAGGAAAGCAAAGTCTTTGGCTCCACATGTGCTTCACCATTACAGATAATTTATTTATTCAATTAGAGAGTATTATAAAATAGTGCTCCAATTCCAAACCCCTACATTCACAGAATTTCAGTGTCTGGAAACCAGAGGTTTCTCTTGAAAAATCACATGTGACACATAATGAAGATCAGACCAAAAAAAAAAAAAAATTAACTACAAACTTAAAATTCATGTCTTATCACCCCAAACAGCCTATTACTCCAGAGCACATTCTGATATTACCTAAAAATAAACAGGAGAAACAGAAGGCTAACCATCATAATTTTTAATAAAATATGCAACCATTTGGGTAGATATCCCACATACAGCACAATAGAAATTAACAGTCACATAACATGATCTAATGAAAGAGTAGGAGTCAAGGAAACCTAAATAACTTGTAAACTACTGAATAATTTCAGCAAACTACTTTGGTTCTCTAGGAGTCTTTTATAATATGTATGAGCTGACATAATATTTTAAATTCTTATAAGTTTGCTTCTACGACTTCCAGGTAATTCAACAAGAAGCAACGTACACTCTCATGTCATATGGCAATAACTCAAAACCTGAAAAATAAGCCAGGTTCAATGTCATGTGCCTGTAATCCCATAAACTTGTGAGGCTGAGGAAAGAAGATCAAAAGTTGTAGGCCAGCCTGAGCAATTTAGTGAGACCCTGTCTCCACACAAAAAATAAAAAGGGCTAGGGATGTAGAGCAGTGGTAGAGTGTCCTTGTGTTCAATCCCCAGTACCACACAAAAAAGAAGATCTCACAGAAGATAGACATATCATTAATATGTATGAGTAATAATATAGATAGAAGGACTTTCTGATTAAAACAATTGTTTTTAAACATCATTGTAGAACTGCTACTTTCCTCTGCTTTCCAAGTTTGGTCATAAAACATTTACATATAATACATCAGATATCAGAACTAACTTGAAATGGAAAAACTTTTCTGATACTCTGAATTACACATAAATCTTTATATTTGAAACCTTTAAGTTTGTATACTTTTACATTCTTATTTGTCTTTAATAGCTTCTCCAAATGCCTTTTCTTCCAACCAACCTAACTACAAAAATTATCTTAACCATTTCATTTGCTTATATCTAAATGTACATTAATGCTTTGCTTCTTTCCATCACTTTCAATTATTTTCTTTTATGATCACAACTTTTTAAAATTTCATACTGTCAAATACCTCTTTGTTGATATTTTAAATCATGCCTAGAAAATACTCAATGTATATTCCTTGGTATTTTCTTCAAGTAGTTTTATAATTCCAATTTTTATAATTAAAAATCTGAATCTGTTAATGTATCCCTTCTTAATTATAAAAGAATTACAAAACAGATATAATGCCTTCTATGCATTAACAAAGATGAAAAAAGAAAAACAAGAATTAGCAAAGATGTAGTGAAACAAGTATACATTCTGTTGTGATATTAATATGACTTTGTTAATACACTTCTAGGAAGCAATCTGACCATCTTTACTGATGACAGCCTTAAACAAATCATTTCATAATTCCACTCAGTGGAAATCATCCTCAATGAAAAGGCTAAAAAACATAGAAATAAGAAAAAGTATGGTGCTTTGGACAGTCAACTGCCTAGAGCCTCTCTTCAACAGCACTGGAGAACAGGAGTGAAAGAGTGCTTGAGTTTACTCAAGCAGAGAGTTTTAGGATGGAAAAGATGTAAACATTTGAATCCTGAGGGAAATGTTTCAGAAAACAGGGATAGAATAAAAATGAAAACAAAATTTTTAATGGAGCAAACCACAAAAAGAAGACAGATAGGATCAGAAATAAGAAATAATGTAGTCATACTATTCCCAAATGGTTAAATGAAAAAAATATAAGAAAAATGTAATGAGTGATTAAATTAAAGAAGTACAGCAAATCTAACATATTGACAAAGACTATGAAGTGGTATGAGTGTGCCAGAAACATCCTGGATCTTGATATGGATGACAGTTATACCAGTGTAAAATATGTAAAAATAAATTGCAAAAATTTGCAAAGCATTTGTAGTTCTAACAAACATTGCTATTTACCCTTCCCTTATTATATTATTATATATTATTATATCATTATTACTTGTAACATGAATACTCATTATTTCGACCTCAAAGGTTCAGTTCCATTCAGGAATACATTATGAAACCTGACTACCTTATGCAAATGCAAATACTCTCTATTGTACACATTAGTTTTATGCAGGTTTTTTTTTTAAACCTAAAGACATACTTCCTAGAGGTACTGAAATGGCCTCATTTTTTTTTTTCATTTTCCCCATTACAAATGATGTCACTACTTGGTAAGAAATACCCAACTTGATAAAAATAAAGTTAAAATAAACTTTTCTATATGGAAAAGTTCATATACTTGTCAAAGATGGATATAAAATCATTAGTTTTGATATTGGATGTGAGAACACTTAATAAATTCTTCAAAATTAAATATAGTATCTGTTCCCAAAGAAAAGATCAGAAAGCATTCTGGATACAAAACAATACAAGTTTCCTACTTCTGGAGGAGAAGCAGTTTTACTGAGAGAGACTGGAGTTAAACAGCCTGCACACATTAGTCTAGGACAAAAGAGAATGGCCCATCCCACCACAACAAATCTAACCATCTTCCAATAATAAAAACCACACTCTACCATTAGAAAACTAACAAAAGAATAGAGAAAGATCCTCTCTGAAATATAAGTATGCAAATAAGGCTCAAAAAATAGGTGTACTAAAAACACTGTCAAAACTTTCCAACAAATCATTGACTTAAGTACTGGGTGATGAGAGAAATATCTGAAATTGATAATGCACTAAAAGTAATCAGAGCCATAAAAGAAAAAACAAAAATACATAAACTCTAGGCAAAACTGATCCACCTTCTTCCCCATGTTAACTTAGGTGGAACAAGAGTCACAATCATGCCTGATTTCTGTACATAAATACTAAGTACCTCAATCTCTACTAGCCTACTAACAATGGCTGGCATTCAACCTAAAAGCAATAATCACATAAAATAACCACAAAAACATCATGTTAGGAGATAAAGCAATCAACCGATGCAGATTTGGAGACTGAAACTATCAGCCAAGGAATACAAAATAATTATAAATGATAAAACAGGATCAAATGAAACAGGTAAACAACATGCATGATCAAATGGCAAATAACAGGGAAAACACACTACAAGAATCAAACAGTAATGTTAAAAATAAAAGTCAAACTTGCTAAAATTAAGAAATGCAATAATGGAAATTGTAAAAAGTTTTTGACAGCTGAGAAAAAAAAATCAATAATCCTGAAGATAGGTCAAAATAAATTGCCAAAGCTGAAACTAAACAGGGGGGAAAAAAATCAAGTATACAGAACATTGTAAATGATCTGGGATCTTATAAAAAGAGAATGAACATAAATACAAAATACTTGAAGAGGTCATTCTGAGTATATTTTTCAAAAATAATTTTAAAACAAATCAAATCACAAATGCAAAAATATTCAAAGTAGCCAAAATAAAATAAATATTCACAAAGACCTAGATATATTATCTTCAAGTTTCTAATATCAAAAATGTACTTCAAACTTATTTTTTCCCTGTTCCAGGGATCGAACCCAAGAGTGCTTAACCATGGTGCCACATTCCCAGCCCCCCCTTTTTTTTTTCATTTTGAGACACTAGCTCACCAAGTTGTTTAGAGCCTCACTAAATTGCTGAGGCAGGCCTTGAACTTGTCATCCTCTTGTCTTAGCTTTCAGAGTCACTGGGATTACAGGTATGTGCCATTTTGCCTGGCAAACTTTTTGATGACACAAGGTTTGGTAAAAAGACAACACCAAAACCATATTTGCAAAATTAAAAATTAAGCCTAATTAAAATTAAACATGTCTGCTCTCCAAAGGTCAAAGAGTGGTGTAAAATATTTATAAAGCATGTATCTGGTAAAGGTTGGGATCTAGAATATTTAAAGACTTTCAAAATTTAATAATAGACAACAGATTTTTTTAATTGGGCAAAAGAGTTGAGCAGATATTTAAAAAGATAAACTAATGGCAAGTAAGCATAAGAAAAGGCAACTCAACATCATTAGTTATGAGGGAATTGAAAATTAAAATAAATGAGAAACTATTGCGTAACTATCCAAATGGCTAAAATTAAAACACACAAACACACACACACACACACACACACACACACACACACACATAATGCCAGAAGAATAAAGAGCAATCAGAACTCACATACAGGACTGTCTGATAGTGACAGCCACTTTGCAAAAGAGTTTGTCAGTCTCTAATAAAGTTAAACACATAGACTTTTTATATGACTCAGCAATCCCAACTTTAGATGTTTTAACCCATGTTCATACAAATAATCTGTACCCAAAGCATATAGCAGCTTTATCTGTAATTGCCAAAAAGCCAGAAACACCCCAAGATGTCACTCACCTAGAGAATAAACACATATGAAAAAAGTTACTCACCGGTAAAAAAAGAACCGACAAACGAACATGCAACCATATGGATGAACCTCTGCAATTCAGAGACCAGCCTCCTCATCCAGCCACCTTCAGGTTTAATGACTCAATAAACGGATTCATAATACTCAAAGGAACCATTATGTTCATGGTCATAGTTTACTATAGCACAACTGGTACAGATTAAAATCAGCAAAGAGAAGAGGTGTATAGGGCAGGGCCCAGGAAACACCGGATACAAACTTCCAATAGTCCTCTACCACTGAAGTCATGCAGACCACACTTGTTTCTCCCAGCA